TTCCCTGCCTTCAGACTTTGAAATTGTAATTTTGACAAGTTATGTTTGTGACGAGGCTCCTGATGAATAAATCTCTGTCACCTATCACAGCTTAAACCTGGGCGAGGAGGAGAAGTGCTGCACAGTCAGTGTTTATCTAAAACTCCTGACAACATGTTTTCCCTGCCAGTGCTCTCCCCCATACTTTAATATCACTTATAGTGGTTTATTTACAACCCGAAGGCCCATCAGTGTTCTTAGCTTAATTACTAAAGGGTTATGTGTAATCACTGATGGAAGCTTCTGGAGACCGCAGAGAAAGATTGGCTGAGAGAAACGAAAGGTGGCCATAAAAGTGAGCGCTGCTACCTGGGTGAGGGAGAAGGAAATGAGAGGCAAACACACGAGGGAGGATAAAAGACAATTACGTTTTATCCATATGAAGCAAATGGTGAATGGCTGCAGGAATTGAGGAGTTAGTAAAAAGATGCATAAATGTATATATATCTTTTTTAACCATATTCTCTTTGTTTGAGGTTTTACAACTCAAACCTATCTGATTTACAACACCAGGTATTCACAGGAATTATGGGTGTAGCAACATACATACAGTACTGAGTGTAAGAAAACGATTTTATTAAAACATTAACATTTTTTGTTTTGGTTTTCCACAAACAGACCGAGGGCTTTCCAAAGCAAAATTTATCTTAAAAACAAAATTGGAAATCTTTGCTAACTGATTCAGTCTAAGTTTGACCAGAGGGCATTTTTTAAAAATTGACATACTTTCCTCTGTTTTGGGAAAAAAAAAAAATGTCTACTTAAGTTGAAAACACCAAATCACTCACACTGCAGCACAGAAACTCAGCAGGACATATTTAGCTTTCCCAGCGCAGCACGAGGCTAAAGATGATCCCACAAACACTGAGCTTTGTGATTTCTTTGACTTTGTTTACCCTTTTCTTTTTCTCAACATATTCAGCAGATGACTAAGTTTTAATTGACATGATGCCGGCTCCGCCCCCATGAGGAAGTAGAGCAAACCTCCGACAAGCAAACGGTTGTATAATGGCTGAGGTGGAACTCAGTGCATCACCTGAAACATTTTTGAGTCATTTTTCCTCATAAGACAACAGGCCATAAAGCTACAATCGTAATCTACACGAATAAAATCACTACCTTCACTTAATGATCTCTGATTGGACCATCAATAAGTGTCATTATGACAAAAAATGAGATACTCACCACCAGATGACAGTGTGGTAGTTGGTCAGTCACAGTTCCATGAGGTCGGCTGCAGGCCTTGATCAATTTCTTGCATTATTCCATACTGTTTTTGTTTTTTTTATGTAATAATCGTATTCCACTGTCTATCTGCCCTGGGTAACACCTCGTCCACCACTGACAGCGTTAACCATGATTTCCCATTTTCCTTGAAATCTCCATGACCGCTGGGATTAGCAAAGACCAAACCAGGTGTGTAACCCAACAATCCGTCCTGCCTGGTGGCAATGCACATGCGCACACCGACATTACGTCACAGGTTGTTTACTCAGCAGATTTGCTATGGATCTTAACTGTGGAAGTTTCGTTTTACCTGTTTTGTTTCGTCGAAGATTACGGTAAATTTAATTTAATTTCTAGTTTTCCTTCAGCTGCTCTCTTACTTTATGTTTTAAGTTTATATCGCAGGCAAACACATTTATAAACGACTTTAGTTCGCCGTCTTTAATGTCGTTGCCATATTGTAAACAACGGCTGCAGCCTTGTTTGGCGCTAACTGCGATTCTTCGGTATGTAGCTAAATACGACGGTAGCGGTTTTCGAAAGGTGGCACCGACAGATAGCCAGCTATTCGGGACAAATTGCGACAAAGACCCTGGAATGATTGACAGGAGGCGTCATGTCAGATTATATAAAGCAAGACGGATCTTTAAAATCCCCCAAAAAGTTGTTGCTGTAGATATTTAAGCAATAGAAAGCTTTTCTGTGCTGTGTTGTGTTCATGACTTCTTGTTATAAACTTAATTGATGGATATGTTATAAAAATATATGCCTTTTTTGTGGCCATGTCAATTCACATGGACCTATTTTCATGTTTTGTGTTCAGATTTGAGATTTGACTTTTGAATATAATATTGAATGCTTTTGGCAGATTTGTCCACGTTTTGCAGTTAATTTAAATACATATATTTTTTATCTTTTCTGGACATTTTAAAGCTTTTTAAATTATCATTTCATTGCATTTGCACCACAACTATTAAGTGAACCTTGATGCATTAACAGGTTCACAGTTTTTTAAAACTTAATTTTAATATTGTGATGACTGCAATCAGATTCTATGAAGAACTGTGTTTTATAGGATATGTATACGTGATAGTGCTCCGTATTTCAATGCATTCTATAGAGTATAAAAAAGCAAAATTATCAGTTCTCTAGAGGTAATTTGGTCTTCCAGTGTCCAGCAATAAGACTCATTTCAATCAGCTGGCCAAAGCAATAAGCTCAGCACATATTCCCTCAGAGCCTCATGCCTTAAACCCAATAAACTGAAAGCAAAGCCTAATGAAATGGATGATACAGAGGGAGGATAAGCTAGAGTCAAAAAATCAATGAAAAGGAGCAACGCTCTGTCTCCTGGCTACAGAGTTTGCCAGCTGGAGACCATAAAGTTTGGAAAATTCATCCATTAGAAAACGCAAAAGGTGCAACTTCTTGTTGTGGATATTTAGATGTGCTTTGTCTTTGCGTTTCTTTGTTTTCCACTTCAGCCTCATCGTTCAACTTAATTTTTATGAAATACACAAGAGATGCGTTTCTTTGGGGTTGTGTTATTGTTTCTGCCGGAGCCTTTTAGAATACAGACTCAGATGCTTCAGAATGTTGTTGTTATTATTATTATTAAGAACCAATAACTTACTGTTGAGGTAGCAAAATTGTCATGGGATTGCAGACGCCTGTAGTAGAGAGATGAATAGTTTTCGGAGAGCCAGTTTCAGGAGTGTGAGAAATCGGCTGTGACTGCAGAGAGCTGGGTCAAACCTGGCAGGAAGAGCATTCTGCTGATAAAACTGGATTATCTGCACACACACTTACACCGAAGGCACATGTACCAGAGTATCAGAGGCATATTATTCAGAATAGTGTCCGTAATACTGTGTAATTCAGTCGACAGACCTCAAACATGACATGTACTGATACATTCGCACAAAGGAACCCAGTGTGAGTGCAGCTGCTTTGAACTAAACACAGAAGAAAAGAAACAATTTGTTCACATACAGGACATTTCTTTGCATAATGTGAAACTAAAATGAAGTTATTTTTTAAAGTTCACATTGAGGTTGATTGAGCCTCTGCAAAGCTGTAACTTTGACATTAAAAGTGCCACAGCTCAGTCACACTGCATCCTATTACTTGGATGTTTCGTGCATCTTTATATTTTTTTGGTTTGTGTATTTTTTCTCACTCTTGTCAATGTTTGCTTTGTGTTTATTTCACATGAAAAGACCAGATGTAGGTAGTAACTAGTTACATTGACTCAGTTGCTTTTGCATAAATATTGTGGCTACTCTACCCTCCTCTGTAAAGTCACAGTGGAATCAGCGATTTTTGTTACACATCTTAGATTAAAATGAAAGAATTTTAGGACCTGAGAAAGGTCCGGCCCAAGTCCAGTCCTGGAAAGCTACAATCCAGCAACTTTCAGATGCATCTCTGCGCCAACAAACGTGAAGGTTAATCTGATCCCGGTGGGTTGAAGGAGGATGCATCTAAGGCTATGTTGACACTGCAGACCTTAATGTTCAATTCCAATTTTTTATGAAATCCATTGTTTTTTTTGCTTGTTCGTTCATATTTCTGAATATTTGCGTCTTGTATGTGATCCCTTGTGAGAACTGCAAACAACCTAGAATCATCAGTAGTGGATGCCGTAATGTCACACGTAGTGAGAACGCTCAGTGGCACTGAAAAGTCAGGACTATTTGCACAAATTCTACAAAAATCCCAGATAATATGGCAAAAGCATATGATTTAAGTTTAAACAGCTACATAATGTGCTGGTTTTAATTCACATTTCTTTTGCCATATACTTACTTTATATGCATGAATTTGCACTTACAGCTGTGAGCTTTTTTCTGTACCGTTGAACTGAATTCTGTGATGCTGTAGTTTCCATGAATCCTGGTGTAGCATGTCGACACATGGATATTTGGATTCTCCCGGGTTTAATGCATCATTTTTTTTATTTTGGAATAGTTCTTGGTCCAGTGGGTCCAAGACCAGAGAGGTGTGTATTGTGAATGAACTGAGGATAGAGGCTGAAGTTGTGAAGTTGTTAATCCAAGCAGAAACATCTGTTAAAAAGCTGATAATCCCGCTGTGTTAACAGACGACGCTGCTGCTGCAAAGAACACTGTGCAAATGTTAATCTGGCGCCATCTGCTGCTTCATCACTGGAATTACATTCTGACAGAAACTATTAAAAGATCAACTGTTATGTCGTAAATGTATAAACAAAAAAGGTATTGTAAAATAGATTAGTTACTTGATTTGCTTAAAGTAAATGTAGAAACAAAGAAGTTCTCAGATTCATTTAAGACTTCAGCTGTTTTGGAGTCGCAGTTTCACACTTTATTTCAGTCGATGGCATTTTTGTCACTTCTGGATTATTTTACTCTAAAAGCTAAAATTGTCTTTCTTTAAGTTTAAGTGAATTAAGAAAATCTCCTTTCAAGTTCCATCCAACATATGCACTGCCATATATGGAGCATGAGTCAGGTTGTTCTGTTAAAACAGATTTTCCAACAGGAATAAGTCAAATGGATGTATAGACACTTATTGGCAACACAGTAAAGGATTGTTACTATCCCACCTTCTAACTGTAGGATTAGGAAACAAGCTTTATGCAGAATAATGACTGCAAATAAATATGTTGTGATGTATGTTTTTCTGTGTTATTTTGAGATGTTCTGTCTTTAGTCCTGTTTCCCTGAGTCTCTGTCCTGCCCTCCCTGCTGGTTGATCCCAGCTGTGTCTAGTTTCCTGATTACCCTCCTCCTGTATTTAAGTCCACCTGTTGTCTTTGTCTCTTGTTGGTCCTTGTCTAATGTCATTCATTCATCATCTGTTTGCTTCCAGTGATTTTGAGTTTGTTTTCCTGATTCTTTATTAAAACCATCATTCACCATCATGACTACCTGGGTTCAGCAGCGTCTTCCTCACCTCCAGCCACCGCACATCACGACAGCATAGAGCTCAAACAGAGACACAGTGAATATAAAAAGGCTAAACACTCCTGTTGAAATACCAGGTAAAACAATGTAACCAAGATAAATCATTTCAAAACTTTTCTACCTTTTAATGTGATATTAACATTTCTCATGTTAATCTTTGATCTAAAGCCTTCATCTGCAGAAAGGTTAAGAATCTTCAAAATGAATCTTCATCCATAATCAGGATGTTTGGAAAAGTTTTTACGGCAGCACTGAGGAGCGACGTGACGTTCTGGTTGTGTTCTGGAGGTAAATGGAAAAAAATTATTTGCAAAAATCGAAGGCGTCTGAAATACTGGGGCATAACGTGTTGTGACTGAGTGACTCTTTGTATTTGATTCTGTCAGAAATAAAACCATTTGTTGTGACCTAAATGAGTCATTCTCTCACAAACCGTTCAGTCTTTCAGTAACTTGCTGCCAAGACTTCAGGTCACTCTTTGGTCTGGTGGATCTCTCTTGGCTTCAGCAAAGTAGCAATAAAAACCTGGATCTTTCTCGGAGCTCTTATGGCTTCTAACCCCGGCCTCTGGATGGGACCAAACCAGGACCAAAATATGCTTTAAGTGTTTTCATTATATGTTTTTATTTCTTATTCCCTGCTGCCCAAAATTACGTCTGGCTTAAATCACTTTGTCTAGAGAACTAAAACGTTCTGACGTTAGAACGAAAAGGAGCTTCCAAAGAGTCGCTGACACTTCAGTTTCTCTAATGGTGAACATCAAACTGTGTTACTTTTACTCTTTCTGCATGGCTGGTGCTGCTTTTCCTGCAGGTGTGGACTCAAACCACAGGACTTTGACTTGTTGTTTAGAGTTTAAAACCACAGTTTATAATTTGGGACTTGAGTTTTATGGCTCTCAGAACCTAAAACCTGCTATAACTGTGGGTCTGCAGAGAGGTTTGAGTCCTGTGGGACGTATGCAGCACGCAGGGTGTTATCTGCTAAACATCCAGGTTACTCTTAAACCTAGAAGTGTTAGAAATCTCTGCTGAGAATCAGATTTCATAATGGCAGTTTGTTTTTTAATTAAAAATGAATCTTGTAAATTAATAAAGACATAAATTGATGAGTAGTAGAGTGGCACCAATGTTTCTAGCAAGTTCTTTTATATTCTGTGGTGAATTTTTCTTTGCAGAAATGTTGATGGAGAGAATATTGTCCTTTTTTTTTACATCTTTCATGCATTTTTCAATAGTGTAAAATGTTATCCAAGTTTTGGTAACGTGGGCAGAAAACAACATAAAGACTTCAATGGATTTATTAAGTACACCTCTCCGTCTTTGTCATTTTCAATAACCGCTTCATTCTCTGATGTTGGTGCATTTGCAGTAATTTGCTTTCCTATCCAGCAGAGGGCTGTTCTGAAAACTGGCATCACTTTTTGTTCAGTTCAAACTTTGAACACAAATTTAATATCCATCATTTCAGATGCAAAAGATTTAGAGGTGTTTTTTTTTCTCATAATAATTACATTCATTTACTTTTTCACTGTTAAAAGACAGTCAGCTGGAGGTCTGAGCAACCAGAGCAGCACCTGATCACATAGTTCTGTCCCCCAAAGAAATAAACAAAGCAAGAAAAACCAGTGGAATTGATGCCAGTGAGTCTCGCAGTGCGAAGCGGTTTGTAAAACAGCTGATGAACGCTGGTGTGCAGCAGCAGCCGCCGCTTGCTTCTGGTTTGGTTTCTTCTGCTCTCTGTGTTGTGCTTCTTGAAAGATCCAAGTTTTTATTGCAGCTCGTTTCACGCCAAAAGAAGCAGCGGACCACACATCCAGAACCGCAGCAGAAACACAGCAGCTCCTGGAGGCTTTCAGGTTTTTGGGTTTCTAGAACCTTTTGTGTCGCCATAAATCACAGCTAACTGTGCAGACGCTCTTTGACAGAAGAATTAAAAAAAATCTTAATTAGGAATTTAGGATGATGTTTTTATTATCAAAGAAAGGGGAAAAGATGATGAATAAGAAAGGAAAGATGGTGGTTCTGGTTAAACTAACGGTTATACAAAGTCTCACATTTCATTATAAAATATTTGTCAAACTGAGAAATGCCAAAATATTACAATAGAGTCTGACCTTCTGGAGGACTGTAAACTGAGCTTTAACCTAAAAAGGTTTGGTGGTTCATGATGTAACTTTGTAGTGAAATTAATTACATGTTTGCTTTTTTAGCTCTTTAGCTCTTTAGACAGACTGAGTTCACTTCCATATGTGTGGGAATCACAGCTCAGCTTTTCTCCATTCTTACTGTTTTACATATTTTGATTTCATAAAACCAGGTTAAAGTTTTCCCTGAACAGATTTCCCCTACCTTAGGTTTGCATCTCTGCAGCTCCTCCAGAGCTGAGTTCTGTGAAACGGACAGATTATCGCCTGATGACCAAAACCTGCTTTGAACTTTCCCTCAGTTTTCTCCCTGACCTTTCCGCTGCGCTCCTCCATCTTCATCATCCTGTTTATTGGCTTTTTTGTTCGTTCCTTAACGAAGCTCAGAGGCCGTCACAGCTGGATTTGTGGTGGGGATGAATTACTCACAGCTGGACCCAATTTAGTGGCTTCTGAAGACACAAGATATCACAGGCTGAGCTCAGATGCATGCCACACTGTTTTGCTGTAAAAAAACTCAAAAACCATAATGATTTCACTCCTACTTTGTTTATTCACTACTTTGTGTCACTATATCAAATAAAATCTCAATATGTTGAAAACCATAGGCTTAATTTTAATGTTTTACTCAGATGTTTTAATTTGTTTCAGCTCTATGTGAAAAACTAATTTGAATGAAACATTTTCAGACAGAAATAAAGATGCAAACCATTGAGAGTCCCTTTGGAAAATATGAAATATCTTTCCCGTCTCGCTCTCTCCAGCTTCACCTGCTGATTTAGTTACTCCTGTTTGCCGGTTTGCCAGGTTTCTTCACGGAGCAGAAACCTGGAGTTCGTGGTCTCCCAAGAGCAAATTTCATTCCAGCAGGTTCAGCTGTCGGCCTCAGAAACGGTTCATCTGGAGTATGAGTGTTTGCAGGTTTTTCTGCTGAGTTTGCATCCCCATATTTGAAGACAACATTTAGGCAAATGCAGAGTCACAGCTGCAAGATTTCTGTTTTGATGGTAAATCGAGATCCAACTGATCAAAACCAGTAAGAAAAATCTGATTCCATCATTTTAATTGGGTGGCTGCTGTCTTATGCAAAACAAAGCATTTTCCTCTGAATAAACTGATGCATTTTAACCTGGAATGATCAGAAACAGTTCTTAACTCCTTCTAAACCCACTTCCAAACGTCCGGACTGTGAATCATTTTGTCAACAAGACGGAGTATTTTGTAGTAAAAGCTTCATCTTTCAAATCTGATGTGTCACCTTTTCCACAGACTCACAGTGAGCTCAGCAGATCCGACACGGCAGAGCGAGAGCTAAATGACAGAGTGGGGAGCAGAGAGGTGCCCCTGTGTCCCTGGTCACACCAGTGGGTAACCACACACTTCATCCAATGGCTCCAGACACACACACACGCTCACACACACACGGGAAGGTCAATGATATGTTGGGAAACGTAGTGAGGGGGAAACCTGAGAAGGGGAAAGCTAAACCAAAGAGAAAAAAACAATAACAAGAACAACCTGAAAAGATCAACACTGTTTCCATTTCTTTTTGTTTTTTCACTCCATCTTTGCAGTTTGGAGCTTCATGGTGGAGCAGCTAGCAGCTCTGCAGCAGGAAAACCGAATCCCAGCCTGGGAGCTTTTACTATGAAGTTTGTATGTTTCCCCCGGTTCTGCAGCTTCCTCAAAAACATGGCCGCTAGGTGGTTACCTTAGATTCCCCTTTAGGTGTGTGTGACTGGTACAGGTGGAGGGAAACTTCCTGTCTTCATCCCACTAGTTTCCATTAACCATATAATTGTGCAAATTGTAATAATGAAAGTAAATTTACTTAATGGCAAAGATGCGATTTTATTTTAAAAATTGTGTTTTTTGATAAGTTTTTGCGTTAGGATGAAGTGGATATTTGGCAAAACTGCAATGGAAAAAGTTTTTTGCATATCAGACGAGTCACATGATCAACGACTGGATGTTTCTACTGGCGGAAAAGAAGAAGATGATGTAGGAGGATGACGGGACGGCGTGCTTTTTTAATAATTTATTGTGTGAACAAATTTATCCACATGACATTTTAATTGAGCTCTTAATTAATGGAAACACCACAAAGAGAAATCATGTTTTTTTTTTTTTACATTAGCAGAATATTGACACTTTTGCACACATTTGAACTGATAAAGTTTTAAAATGCAGAATGCTAAGGCACTTTGCCTCCTGTCTTTGCCTGTTCGTCATATCAGACGAGACGTTGCCTAGTTTGCAGCTCAGTAGCTGAACAACATGAGCTAAGATGGAAATAGGAGCCGTGTTTGTTGGTTTGAGGTTTTCTGAAAATTTTAATATTTTCCTTTTATTTTTATGCAGTCTTTTCACCCATGCTGATATTTCCTTGTTTTACTTTTATAGATTCGGTTGCCAAAGTAACTGCTGTCACTCTGATTTCTCCTCTGTTTTTTCAGCATCACCTTCATGTCTTTTTTATTTTCCCACACTCTCGTTTCTCCTCGTCTGCTTGCAGCCCTGCGTTACGCTCACTACAATGTCATGCTGGGTCACTAAAGCAAACACACACACGCACACACACACTCTCCCACGCGGCGTCAGTGCCTGTTATAGTGACAATGCCACGAACAAAACCAACAACAGACAAATATATAAAAGTGGGCTAAAATTCCATTCAATTTCAGGAGATTTCCACATCAGCGCTGCTCTCATAAACCCTATGTTTAGACATCCAGGCAGTTTCAGGAAAACCAGGGGAGCCAGAAAGATAAATACACTGAATTATAAAGTTTTGGAGACAGTCATCCCCAAATAGCATGGGTACTTTTTTCATGGGTTAAAAAGGAGACACATGGGACCACAGAGCGTCTGTAGTCGTAAAAAAATGTCTTCATCTTCTCTCGCAGGCTGTCATCTTAAATTTGGATCTTATTTCTCCTCTTGTTTGCTCTGATTTTTTTGTGTGTGCGTTTCTCCTTTTCATTTATTCAACATGTTTTTCATTTTCTATTTATAAAAGTTTGGAACTTGTTTAGATGTTGCACACAGTGGAGCATAAAGGGAAAAATGAGCAAGAAAATGGAACACCGCTGAAATAAATTTACAGAAAAGTACATTTTTATTTTTAAAAAGTTGGTGAGAACGATGGGAATGGATAAAATACCACAGTGTGCTGCATTTCTTGGTTTCTTTTATGGTTTTATTAAAATCATGAAGAAATCTGTTTACACCATAACGGTGTGTCAAAGGTCGTCTCGCCCTTTGAACTTTTTCACGTTACAGTCACAAACTTTAATCTGTTTGGTGACAAACCAATGAAACATCCTGACTGTGAAGTTTTTTTTTTTTTTAATATCTAAAGCTCAGACTGGATGGAGAAAATCTGCAATTAGTTTTATGCTTTGACTAGGCCAGTTTGTTCACTAATGCTCTCTAACCCCCACACAGATGGTCTCCACCCATCAGCTTGACTTACTATACTTTTATTGTTTCTATATTAGAAATTGATAAAAGTCATGAATCATCGTCCTTCCAGCTTCGCAGCTGCATGTCCCTTTGTGTTTTGGTGAAAATCCCAGTTACATGGATTCTGTTGCAATGTGACAAAATGTGAAAAGTAAAAAGGCTCTGAATATACTTACAAGTAGAAATGAAAAGTGGAAAACATATTTGTTTTTAGAAGAATCTCAAAAAGTCTTTATTTCTGCACGTTTATGGGCCCAAGACAGACGGTTTGCAGAAATCCTTCACAATGAAACTGGTGGATTCCCAGTCTCATATTTTACTATGTGGCCGTTTACATTAAATTTGTCAGTTTCGTTCATTTCTGTGTCTTATTTCAGATTGAAATCTAACATAAAAATAAAGTCAAGAAGGAAAACCAAGTAGAAAAAACTAAAATCGTGGCTATATTTGGTAGACAGAAGCCCAGAATAAGAGCTAGGTTCCTGCTGACTCAGAATCTGGCACCGTGATTGGCTGATTTGACCATTTCCACGCTGATTGAGGAGTTCCACCACTGAACGTTAGTGGTTAGGCCTGCCCGGGATCTGAACCCACAACCCACAGGCCCTTCAAAGCCAAGGCCACCAGACCAGCAGACCTCTGAGGTTTAACACCCACACCTTGGCTCCCACCGAAGACGGAGGGCGAGAGCAGGGAGGAGAAGGAAGGAGAGACTCCAGCAGGAGAAAACGAAGTTAAAACCAAGACTGCAAAACAAACAGTTACTTTCTTCATCAGACCCTGAATGCCTATTTTGTCATCTGCAAGAAATGTCTTATCTAACAATGTTCCCAAATTTCCAGAAATCCCAAAAATTCAAGCAATTGGCCCAATTTTTTTTCATCATAGTTTCGAAGCAAAGCTGCATCTAGAGGTTGAAGGTGGAGTCAGACGCCTGGTAATGTGATTGTGTCTTGGAATGACGGGTCAAACACGTACAAGTTGCTCCTGGATTAGGACGGGTGTGTCCGTTGGCTGTGATGTCCATCTTGTTTTATTTAACTTGAACACAGACGTTCAGTTCTCTAGACAGTCAGCAAGCGTTCTAATAATGAATTAATCAGAAATTATGTCTGTCTGACTTTGGTTTTAGCTGCTTCAAACATTCACAGTGACGTATGTGTGAAGGATACAGTCTTTTGGGAATTATGATGCTCAGGAATTTTTCAACATGTCCACCAAAAAAAAACTCCTGCATGTCGGACTTAAACCGTTAAGCCAATTTTGATTTTTATTTACCTACAGAAACTCATCTTCATACGTCACGCACTCAGTTTCCACTACGAACTTTGTCGATATTCAGCTAAAGCAAAAAAAACCCAAACAAAAATAGTTTCACTGTTGTGGTGTCTCGATTCAATAAGAATTAAAATCACATATGAATGAGTTTGTTCACATAATTATAAAACACGCAGAGCCATCATCCTCCTACTACTTCCTGTCATCGTCTTCGTCATTTCTGCCAGTAGTAAAATCCAGTTGTTCATTACATTACTTGTGTGATGAGAAGTTTTTTTTACAGTTTTTTCAAAATACACTAAATTCAATATAGCTGAAAAACAGCCGCTTCCTAGTGCAAAAACATTTAGCTAGGAAATGGATCCTTCCTGTCTTTATTCCATTGAATATAATTGTCAATGGAATAATGGTAATGGTAGCTAATGGATCAGCAAAACAGATTAGTAGGAATATAATGGAGGCATTAGATATTAGAAATTATAAGTATATATAATCAGGGTACCAACGTTTTTAAAGGCCAAAGACCTTAAACATCATGTTGTCATTCCTATGCATTTAGAGCTTGAATACTTTCTGATAAAAATCAATACTAAGGTTTAATTAGCATGCGTACTGGTGCCGATGCAGGCCAGCCGTGTAAATTATTAAATGAAAGTTTTCACATTTGTGAAACTGAAACATTTCGGTTTCAAATGTTAATCTGGTGCAGTTTCACCTCTGATGTTTTCCTTCCTGTTTTTACTATAAGAGTCAGCTATTGTGGCCTGAATAGGTGCTGCATCGATTAACACATTAGTACTTTTAAAGTGTGACCTTAAAAGTATGAAACACAGAAATGCCGAGCTCTTTAATTCAGGGAACCTTTCCTCCATCCGCTTTCCTAGCAGCTCCTATCAGAGGATATGAACACATTGCTACTTCCTGCAGAGACAGGAAACAGGAAGCAGGGGGGGGAATAGAAGACCGAGCCTGACATCCTGCGGCAGAGAGGGAAAGACCCCCTTCACACACACACACACACACACACACACACACACACCTTCCCCATTACATCTTCTCAGGCAACTCAAGTCTTGTAATTTCTGGTTCAGCAAGAGTTAAGAAATGTATTTGGCCTTTTTATGCAGTGAATGTAAAAAGTCTGTATGCCAAAGTTACTGTGATGTTTGTAATTCACCTTTTAAAGCCAACAGAACTGTTACTGTCCAAAACATGAACAGCTGCATTAATTTGTTATTTAAGTGTGCTTCAAACTAATAGTTTGAATGGTGTAAACTGAAACTGATACAACTAAATTATTTAGATGAGGAACTTTAACTGAAAACTTCACCAGTAATTAATTCCTATAATTGGACAGATTTTAAGATTTGTGAGGATCATAGTGGTCACAAATATCTCATAACAGAAAGACAGGAAGCTGCAGCAGCCAAGATAATCTTTCTTTCAGTCTCAGGCTTTAATATCAGTATTTTAATATTTCATTGGTACAAATTGTGAAAGTAGAATCATGAGTTGATAAACCGTGGATGATAATTTACACAAAAGGAGAGGCAGTTGGACGGCGCCATCAGTTATCAAACCCTGAACCTAAATATCAACATCGAGACGTTTTCGTAACACTTTGTTTGACGGGGGGTGAATAAGACTGACATGACACTGTCATAAACATGTCATAACACCTGTCATGAACATGAATAAGCCTTCATGAATATTTATGACTGTTGTCATAAAGCGTCATTTGGTAAATTATGACACTTTTAATACAAAGTTGACATTATTCAAAATGTCTTTGTTATTACTTTGTAAACTTTACCTTTAATAACATAAAGTTATCTGATTTTTAAAGTGCAAGCAGTAATATTTTTATAACAAATTTATAACAGTAATGATTTATTGGTTAATGTCAAGTTGTCACAACAACGACATTTTGAAGAACCTACAATTTGGGTCACTGCTAAACTGGCTAATTAAATTTAACATTACAAATAAATATAAACAGACATATATGCTCATATGCAGCAAATGCCTCTACATAAAACAGCTACACAAAGTTTTATGTAAGACTGTAACAGGAAAACGTTCACAAAGAAGCCCAAACTCACAAATACATTTACAGCATAAACGAACTGTCATCTTTAATCAGACTGTGTAAAATCACACACACATGGATGACCAGAGATGCAAATACACAGTGTGTCAGCGTGTGGTTGTGGCGACTGATCTAACTTTTTGACCACATGTGGCCAATAAAACACAGGGCAGACAGAACAAGACTGGAAAATCCCCTTCTTTATTTCTCTCTTTCTTCATTTCTTTGAGCTTCGACTCAAACTGTCTCAGATTCACGAATCC